GCCCAACCATGGTTTTCCCTCTTGCCAAATCGCAACAGCAAGCTCCATCCATGACCGGATTGAGGACATTGCCTACAATTTAGTTGGCAAATACGGACATCGCCCCAGCGCTGGACTGCTGGGGTACCTGGCAGTCGGAAAACTAGTACGTTGCTGTGGATGAGGGTCACTTCTGCCAGCCAAGAAGAGAAGCGAAGCAAGTCTCAAAACGCATTATTCCAAGGCGTTCTGATGAACGTGGCGGGCAATCAGGAGATACCAACACTGCGGCGAATTTGTCTCGCCTGCATGCGCGAAGATGTATGGGCATTTGCCTTTTCTCACCAGCGGTCGAAAGAGGAACGTGTCTGAAAACCAACAGACTAATTACGCTTCGTTGTCTGGAGACAAGTTGTCTTGCCTTGGAGCCGCGTACAGCCACCCGTTCGACTAGGACCTTTTGATGTTTTGGAGTATCCCTTCCGCGATAATGAGACGCATCAACAGTCCAGTCTATTTTGGCGCTGGCGACTTCCTGATGCGAATATGCCGTTACAGTCAACCCCAGCGGAATGGAGGTCACCATGCAGAGTGAACCTATTCCCACTACTAGAGGCTGTATTTGCCGACAACAATAACCAGCAAGAGCCCTGAAGGCCAACCACCATCCCAGCGAGAACAGAGCCGCTCATCATTCCGGCATACTTACCTCCTTGGCCTAACAGAATTTTCGAAGCTGAGGTATGAAGGATCTCTTAGAACCGAGCAACCTCCCCCAGGACTAATCGTGTCCCGCTGTATCGCGCGGCAATGGTGGAAAATTCCGGTTAATTCCAATTGCAGATATGCAATCCGTAACCAGAGCCGCTCGAAATTGGCAAGGTACGTGTCTTGGAGACTTCCATCTGTCTGGGAGCGCTTCACAATCCAAACATGTAAGACGCACGTATGAGCTATTAGAAGAATACAAACCAGAGCGGCGAAGAAATACGGCGAAACAGAGGCAGTCGACAGCGAAGGGATTTCCCTCCCGTTTGCATTTGTCTGGTGTAAACTTAGAAGCGGCAGATGCCCACGTCTGAAGTCCCTCTTGAGAAAGAAAATTACATAGCCGTTTTTCAGTAAAACACCAAACGATGCGAGGCATTCACGATCTCGTCGGAGCACCAGTTATTGAGACGGGAGAATGCCCAACTATAAGCAGGCACCATCGTAGCGGTTCCTCTTCCATCTTGCGGGACGAGTTGGAGGAGCACGAGTGGTGATATGTTGGCACAGATTGGGTGTTGGAGACTTGCACCGGTCCCTGGGTATCTCCAGTGGTCCTAGTGGTAAAAAAGAAATCTGTGTGCGTTTCCGGTTTTGCTGCATTACCGGGCAAGGCTGAATGATTTTACCAAAGGATGCCCACCTCTGCCCAGCGATATGATGACTCGCCCTAGCATCCATGTCGGGTGCTGCATTCTTCAGCAATCTTGGTACTTGACCAGTGCGTTACTGCGCAAGTCCCTGTCAACAAGGCACCATCGAGACAAGACGGCCTTCTCGATTGGGACGAACTTGTATTGTTTCAAGAGACTTCCCTATGGGCTCTGTAATGCACCTCCGCTGTTCCAGAGATTGATGGAGTTGGCATTCGCTGGCATGAGCTGGAAGGTCATGCTGACGTATCTTGATGATCTGGCAATTTTCACGAAAACATTTGATGAGCATCTGGAGGTCCTAGAAGAGGTCTTTCAACGCCTACATAAGGCCGGATTGAAGCTCCAGCCCAGCAAGTGTCATCTCTGCAAGGACCAGATCATCTTTCTCGGACACCACGTGAGCCGACTTGGAATCAAACCGGATCCATTTAACATCCAGAAGATAAAGGACTGGTCCGTGCCGAAGACGGTGAAGCAGGTACAGAGTTTTGTCGGCCTGGCTTCGTACTATCGTCGTTTCGTGGAGGGATTTGCAAAGATCGCCAAGCCCATGATTCAGCTCACGGAGAAGCATGTACCCTTTGTGTGGGATGATGCATGTCAAGAGAGCTTCGACACTCTGAAGAGTCGACTGATGTCGCCTCCAATCTTGGGGTTTCCAAGATGGGGCGAACCTTTCACCCTGCACACGGATGCATCAGATTTTGCGGTCGGATGTGTTTTAAGTCAGGTGCAGGATGGACAGGAGCGGGCAATTGCCTACCATAGCAGTGCACTGAGTACAACCGAAAGAAACTGGTGTACATACGACAAGGAGTTGTGGGCGATAGTCTGGGGTCTCCGACAAACCCACATCTACCTCTATGGTTCAAAGTTTACCATTATCACCGATCATAAGCCACTGCTGCAACGGACCAAACTCCGCTGGGACGCTGATGTCACACAGAAAAGGACACGCTGGATGAACGAGTTGAGCACATGGGGCGACATCGAAATCCAGTACCGCCCCGGCGTGAAGAATGGGAACGCAGGTGGCATGAGCCGCAGACATCCGACCGAACAAGAGAAATTGGGTTACCTAATCAAGGCATTATTTGTCATTCCTCCGTCGGATGATGTCAACACGAATGAGCAGGTGGTAAATGCTAGGGTTTCCCAGGTCTCCACATACAATGATGTGAATGGAGTGGTGTCAGACCATAGGGGTTCCCAGATCTGCACCAATGATCCCTTACTGACAGGGTTTTCCCGTCTCAAGATACGTCGGAGTAGGCGTAGTAGGAAACACGGAGTTCGAGCGACAGCGCTCGCACTGTCAGATGGACAGGGACAGCCATCGAGTGGCATGAAGGCGCAACAAGGGCAAGACCCTTCAATATCCCAAGTCTACCGTTGGGTATTGAATGATGACAAGCCGTGCTGAGAAGCAATCAAAGGTGAAGAACGTGACATAATCACTTTCTGACGCCAGTTCAATCGCTTCTCGATACAGAATGGAATTCTAGTCAGGGAGTAGACTCCACCCAAGAAGAGGAACACTGTTTATCAACAGGTTGTTACCCCAGGACTCCGATCGCAAGTCCTTCATGAAGTTCACTCTGGTATCACCTCTGCCCCTCTCGGACGACGAAAGACGTTAGGCAAGATGCAGAGTCGATTCTACTGGCCAGGACTAGTTACGGATGTTGCGGAGTTCTGCCGGACATGTCCTAAATGTGTGGCCGCAGTAAGCCAAATCCGAGGATGAAGGCACCGCTGCAAAGTATTTCCTCATCCTACCCACTCCAGCTTGTAGCGACAGTCATCACAGAACTGCCAATCAGCCTACGGGGTAACCGTTACTGTTTGGTGGTTGGCGACCATTTTACGAAGTATGTGAATCTGTATGCCATGAAGGACCAGATAGCTAAGACCGTTGCAGACCTTATCTTCCTCCATTATGTTTGTGAACACGGGATGCCAGAAACAATTTATTCCGATCAAGGTCGGCAATTTGAGTCGGACATAGTGCAGGAACTATGCACCATGCTTGGGATCGAGAAGACTAAAACGACCCCATATCATCCCGAAGAAAACGGCATGATTGAGCGGTTCAACGAGACGCTGAAGAGCGCCATCGCAAAGGTCACAGTCAAACACGGCAAGGATTGGGATCTCCACCTTGGCCCAGTCCAGTTGGCGTACAACTCCAGTGTACACGAGACGACTGGCATGTCGCCATTTTTCCTGCCACAGGGTCGAGAACCCCGCTTGCCGGCGGACATTGTCTATGGATGCCCAACCAAGGACTATTGGAAATCGGCCGGGAGTTACTCGAAGAGCATCCTCGCCGAACTGCAAGAGGCTTTCGAGGAAGCCCGGAAGACGACAAGTATCGGCCAAGAGCAACAAAAGAAATTGTACGACAAGTGGGCAAAACACCATCCCTACCAAGTGGGGGACAGAGTGTGGTTACACGCTCCAGTATCCAAAGATTGCCACAGGAAATTGGCTCTACCATGGGTAGGGCCATATACCATCGTAAAGAGGATGCAGACAGCGAATGGCCTGCCTGGTGTCACATACAGGATCCAGAGTGAGGACACAGCTAAGCGACATAGGCTAGTTGTCCATCACAATCGCTTGAAACCGTGTGTGGCACCCAGGATACCCAGGCCATTGGCGCATCAAGAGCCGGAGGAGCTTGACGACGTCCCTGTAGAGAGGGAACCGGGCGTTCCTGCCCTGCCGGGAATGTTCTTCCCAATGATGGGTGGAGGACTTGGTGTCGGCATGCGATTACCAGCCGCAGCCGCAGCCCCTCCTGTCCCGGCGGCAGAGGTCGTGGACGACGGAATTCCCGAAGGTGCACCTGGCGCTGACATGGGGTTTCCTGCAGAACCAGCTGTCCCACCCGAGGAACCAGACAAAGGAGACGAGCTGAGAGCTGTTGCTCAACCAGGGGAAAGAGATGCTGAGTTAGGAGTGGGACCACGTGTTGACATGGATTTGCCTGCAGCACCTGGCGTCCAGGCTCCAGAACCAGAAGTTCCTGCTGTTCTTCTTCTTCATGGGCAGCATCAGCTGGTCTCTCTTCATGAAGTGGAAGGCAACGTGCAAGGCAAGTGGTACGAACAAGATGATGGTGCAGAGTTCGTACCACTTGCCTTGCACGTTGAAGGTTACCTAGATGACCCACCGCTGGATGAGCATCACCCTGAACAACTCGTTCAGCTGGCAAAAGAAGCGCTGATCGAGGCCGCTCCAGAACCACGTGTGACGAGGAGCGGACGCGACGTCAATGCTCCCGCCTACTTGGACGATTATGTCAGACCCGTGAGGCTGTACAGCGACGCGACCCGCACATCGTGGTGATGCCGCAGGAGACTGCCCATGCGTCGTGGCGATGGCAGATTACCTGCACACCGAAGCGATGGCGGATGTCCCGACGAGGGACGACACTTAGGCTCGAGGCCTACTAGACGCCACGAGCACGCGATTGCGTAAATGAGGCGTTGGTGTTTGACGCATTTCATGATTTCGTAGAACATGGCAGGGTAGCTGCTTTCTTTTGTAACGTTTACCGCTGGGCAGTTACCCCTTGACGATCTGCAGCCGGATATCCGCGTGAAGCGCAAAAAGCCGCCTAGCGGCAATCTAACACATCTTCGCTGCTCCCACTCCATCACCTTACCCAGGTCCCTTAGGGTATAGACCAAAGCCATATAATCGCTCAATTTAGCAGTTGTGGCGATTCCACAAGCCTTTTCACTACGCACGTAGGTAGACATTTCATAGAAATGGTCGTAATTGTTCGTTTGCTGCTCGACACGCTTCGTTTTCCTGTAGAAAAGCGAGTTACCATTTTTGGTGTTTCATGCCTTGACATTATTTTCTAACATATCGCGTCCCATAGATGGCGCCACGAGGCCATGTTCATGGCATTTTCACGCAGTTTCTCTTCACGCGGCTGCGGCCGCTAAGCTAGACTGCTGCCCGGTGGACAGTTCCACACGATGCACTAACTATAAGTTCAGTGTATCCAAGGATACTTGGCGGAGTGAAGGTCCGTACCAGTCTAGCTGCAATCGAGCAACTTCCCGTATTCATGATAGACCGGATCTTCTGATTTTAAAACCCGCCTTATGTATCCGCTGGAGCTGCCGCTCGTTACATGAAGCCGATGACGCATAATAAAATACAATTCATAATAAAACTTATACAACACAGTGTAGAAGTAGAAGGTGTTGACACTTCTATTTTATTGAACTTGCAAAGAACAGCTGCTCAATGCAGCTGAGCTGTTTCATTGTATTCCCGGTAAAATTCTCGACTGCTCGCTGGTAGCTATGGATCCGTGCGCCGGCCTATGCATTCGGCGCACGGATCCATAGCTGCCAGCGCTGCATACTGTCGTAGGACGTTCCCGCGGTCGCGTGCGCCTTGCCGCGAAACTGCGCGCAAGATCTGCGCTCAGCGCTTCGGATCAACACCTCCTTTCGGTCTCATCTGGTTTTTAGCGAATCGTGTAATTTTGTGTTCCGTATTTTGTATTGCGTGGACAGTGGCAGGGTAGCTGCCTTCTGTTGTAATGTTACCGCTGGGCGGTTGCCCTTTGTTTTTAGCGGATTTGCATATGTCGATGTGGGGCACATCTCCTCAAAAGAGGGGCGTATGTGACGGCGGCATAGTTTCGGACAGTGTCGGAAGATGGCGCGGTGTTGCCGCATGCGCGAGGAGCGCGCCCTGTCTCGCTCTCTTACTTGGCAGACATTGATGTGAGCAGATGTGGGTTAACCGGCGTCTCCAAATAAAGCCGTTCATTCCCAAATTCCGGTGTTTATCGATTTACTGTGAGTGCTCCCATGAAGGCATAATAGTCAGCCTTCACAGTTCTAATCGTTAATTACTATAAGGAATATAATTATTCTGCTCTTATAACATACCTGATGTGTATACTGAATCTATACTGAATCTAGATTTTTCACAAAGTCAATGAATTTCGCAGAATGCATCTCAGAGCATCTAAAATCAAAACCTAGATCCAACCCCCTCCCCCCCCCCGAAAATGGCAAAACTGTGCTCACCACGTAGCTTCAGCGCCGCACTTCAGAAAACTAAGGGCTGGTAGATCTTTTTAAGGGCTAGTAGATTTTAGAGGTCACTAGCCCTGCTGGCTAGTGAACATTTTAGGTTAGTTTCAAGCCCTGGTATTAATGTTTAGCTGCATACAGTTCAGTATTCAGTGAACATATCCATTTACAGTTTGAACCCACACGTGGCCCGTTTCATAAAGTTTGTCGCTTAATCCACAGCTAACTCCAATGTGTTGAGAGGAGGGAGACGGTCTAATTACGTCTGTAATGTAAATTCATTTTATATGTAATCACACGTGGTTGCATATAATTGCCAGAATCAGGACTGTGCCAACAGCTCTAAATTCTCTACATAATCCATATGCTAATTGATTTATCTTTGATGTATCAGCCTCACATGGCATCTTTTCTTTCCCTACATATAGTACCGCGCGTGCGAATATTTTATAAACTAGACAGAGGGCACTCACGGAGAGTGCATACCTCCGCCAGCATGTAACATGTATGTGTATAACAGCTGGCTCGCTGCTGGCTGCTGCTGACTAGACGCCCTAAGGCGAGTTGCTGCTGACTGGACGCCCTAAGGCGAGCTACTGCTGAATCGATCGCGCGAACACTAGTGGCTACACACACACACGAAGGCGAGCTGCTGCTGAATCGATCGCGCGAACACTAGTGGCTACACACACACACGAACACACACATGAGACCGATTACATTACCTCTTTGGTGGAGGTAATGAGTAACTGAATAATAAAGCTGGGTATAGGTAGCAGCGCCATCTGTGGGGATCACTCTTCGGATATTATATTACATATTATATTATATTATTCAGATATTATATATTATATTCCACTCTTCTGATATTACATTACATTATATTATAGTATATTATATTATAATATATAGTACCGCGCGTGCGAATATTTCATAAATGAGTAACTGAATAATAAAGCTGCGTATAGATAGCAGCGCCATCGGTGGGGATCACTCTTCGGATATTATATTACATATTATATTATATTATATTATATTATATTA